CCGGCGGGATCGCCGGTCCCAGGGGATTAAGCTTGCCAAGATTTATCCGATTGCTTAATTCTAACTCTAAGTATTATTTGGGTTATAGTTATAGTTGTAGTTTAAAAGTTCGCGCGGTAGCAACCAGTCTCGCTCACGCAGGAAACAGCCCTTAGCTATGTGTTGTCTAACAATGAAAACTCACGCTATTGGTGCTTTTCACTGGCATACAGGAATCAAGCCATACCCAACCTGTGTAACTAGAGATACTAGTTACAGAATGTTTCAGCTTGCTTCAGTTTTCCACTGCAGAAAGGTCAGCTCGGTAAAGGTAGTGCCGAGTTTGGAAAGGGATAGTGATGTAAAACTGAAGCAACACTTGTTTACTATTCACACAGTGTTATGTGCCGTAAGTTTGGGTTACATGCCGTAAGGGATATGTGCCGTAAGTTTCGGGTACGTGCCGTAAGTTTAGGAGGATGCCTGCAGGTCCTTCGGACGTCCTGCCCACTCACCGATTGGTCAACCGCCCCCTCGACTCCGCCCTCTGGACCTGACCCCGCCTCCCTTGTCCTCGGAGCAGTTTCCGGTTCATAGGCTGAAGAGATTGCCGCTTCGTCCCTTCGGCTGCCCGCTACTTGCTTCTCGCCTGCTAGCTCGCTCTTCGTTCGCTTTGCTTTTGGTTTGAATGCTCGTGTATGACTGTTTTGCTCTTGACTTCCGATTTTCGCCTCATCCCTTACTGTACCTTCGCCCTGGTTTTGGCTGCTTGCTTGGTTTTGAACTTTCGCCTGTACTTCGACTTCGCCTCTCTGATCTCCCCTCTTGATACCTTTGCTTTAGCTGTGTGTTTCATGTTCCACTAGGTGTGTGTAAGGAGTGTTTGCCTTTTTGTTTCTTCGTCAACGTGGGGATTACTATTTGTTTGGGTAGGGAGATAGGTGTATGCATTGTTGTTTCGTTTCACCCCTTTTGTGTTCACTTAGGTAGCTTAGCTTGTGGTTATACTCGGTAGATGTGTTTTTGTTTGTTTCTTTGGCCTTTGTCACTCCTGACGTTCGTTACACCTAGTGTTTGTACAGTGTTTTTGAAAAACTATAAAAAAAACTATAAAATAAGACTCCTTTTGTGTCCCGTGTTCCCTTCTCCTAGCTCTGGTTGTCCTGTCCTTCCCAATCCCTCCTTCCCTTTCACTTTGTTAGGCTCCAACCCTAGACATGCATCATGAACACTGTGGCATGGTTGATCTTTGTGTTGAGTGTTTATACTTACACACATTGTGAATCACAAAGGTGACATAAAAGAAAAAGGAAAAATAGAAAAACTCATAAAAGCTTACAGATGCTGTAAACAAAGAATCAGGATTTTGCATTTTTTCAGACACTAGCAGTGACAATGTCACTGACATCTAAGGTACATGAATTGTATTGTATGTATCTACAGACATGGACAAATTTGTTGGTACCATTACAGTTCATTAAACCAGTGCTTCATTTCTCCTGAAAAGTGATTCAATTAAAAACAACTGTCTAATGTTGCAGCATAGTGTTCCTGTGACCACAGTTGCCAATATTAAAAAGCATAAAGTTCATGGGACTATAGCCAACCTCCCAGGACGTGGATCCAAGAGGAAATCTAACCCAAGGTTGATCAGTAGGATAGTGCGGATGGTAGAAAAAGAGCCCAGGAAACCATCCAAAACCATTCAAGCTGAGCTCCAAGGTCAAGGTACGATCACACCATCCGTTGCATTTTGAACAATAACGGGCTCCATGGAAGAAGACCCTGGAGGGCTCCACTATTGACAGAAAAACATAAAAAAGCCAGAGTGGAACTCACCAAAATGCATGTTGACAAGCCCCAAAGTTTTTGGGAGAATGTCCTTTGGACTGATGAGCCAAAACTGGAGCTTTTTGGCCAGTCACATCAACTCTGTGGTTACAGAAAGAATAATTAAGCTTTAAAAGAAAACACCATACCTACTGTGAAACATGGAGGGGCTTGGTTTCATTTTGGGACTGCTTTGCTGCATCTGGCACGAGGAACCTTGAATCTGTGCAGGGTACAATTAAGTCTCAAGACTACCCAGGCATCCTGGAGCGAAACATACTGCCCAGCATCAGAAAACTCAGCCTCACTCTCAAGTCATCGGTCCTCCAACAGGATAATGACCCAAAATAAACCGCTAAAAGCACTCAAGAATGGCTGAGAAAAAAAAACACTGGACTATTCTTAAATGGCCCTCCATGAGCTCACATCTTAATCCTATTGAACATCTATGGAAAGATCTAAAAATTGCAGTGCGGAGATACCACCCTTCAAACCTGAGATAGCAGTTTGCTCAGGTAGAGTGGGCCAAAGTATCTCTTGGCAAATGCAGACATCTCATTTTGAAGTACAGAAATTGCTTGTTGGCAGTGATTGCTACAAAAGGTGGTGCCACAAAATATAAAATTAAGGGTAGCATCTTTTCTGTCCATGGAATTTTCATTTGCTTAATTATTCAACTCAAACAAAAAAACGCAACTATCTCTGAAATAACTTGAAACAGACAGAAGTTGAATGACACCCCTTAGTGTTTTTTCCATATTTAACTCATATCAGACTTTACTTTTGCTTATTGATTTTGTGGAGGGGTACCAACAAATTTGTCCAAGTCTGTATATTATTTCAACAGCATATGTTCTATTGCCTAGTAATAAAGTGATCTTTTTGACATTTCTTTACTCATCTTAAGATGGCATTGATGTAATCCAAAAGTAAAAGTACAGTCGAACCCACTTATCTCGTCCTCGGTTAACTCGCCAACCCTATTAAGTCGAAGTTTTTGAAGTGGAACCGCCAAATTCCCTCTTTGTCTTAGCATTTTCTCATCGGTTATGTCGATTCTTTTATGTTGCTTAACAACAATATCTTGAGCACAAAAGAGGGCCAAAATCGGCACTTAACATCGGTTATCTCGATCCCCGTGACGATTCGCTGGCTTTTAAAAATGTATCACAAGTGCTAAACAGCGTGTATTCAAATCGCATTTGCATGGAAATTTGCTGAACAACGCAGCGATCCAGGTAAAACTTTTTTAGACAGCATTTGTTTTCAAGCAGACTATTAAAGACTGTTATGATACTTTTCAGAGCTGTGTCAGAGTGAAATGACTCGTCAATTTAATTTTGATACTGGTTAGCTTTTTGTAAAAACGAACTACAGTACAGAACTACACAAAACTTTTTTGTGATTTTGTGAGCGATCTTTGTGTTTGCAATGTTGGAGAATATAATTAAAGTAGGGCTGTCGAAATTAACGGGTTAACACGGATTAATCCATCATCATGATTAATCTGATTAAAATTTTTTAACGCAATTAACCCGTATAATTGAGTATAAAATCCCTGAAATGTCTCTGTCAACCCATTTTGGGCAGTTTTAGTGCGTTCCATTTGCCCTGGGAACTCGTATT